TGAAGGCTTTAGTGAAAGTAAAAGAACTAAGTATATTATATCGAGGAATAGGAAATGAAATTTGTACTTTACTCTTTAAAATCGAAATTATTATCAAAAATGTAGTCATTCCCTGAAAAATATACAAAAGGTCGTGTAAAAGTTTCAAGTCGATTCGTCCAACCGTTTCCGAGAATTTTTCCGTTAACACTGAGGTGTTACACAAGTTAAAAAATTCTTACAAATCCGGAAAATATTCTCAAATATAGGTACTTTCTACATATATGCAATTCGTTTCTTTGAAATTCAAAGGAATACAATCCCTTAACTTGAAAACCTTAAAATTCAAAAGCAATATCAGAATTTACTGTTCCGTAAGGGTAATATTTGAGTCATTTAATATAATATAAAGGACATTTCTTAAAGACCACTTATAGTTAGAGTGTGGGCCATAGATAGCGCTGATATTACTAATAAATTGTTTGTAATTTTTTTTGCTTTACTGGGTGTTGCTGTAAAATATGTGTTTAGCATCCGCCAACAATAAAAAAAACGAATAAAACAACAAGACAGGACACCCCCAAATACTTTTACAAATTTCTGTAAGCACTCATGCGTACGCATACTTTTAGGCGCTTTAATACAAAATACTTGCACACTCGAAAGCTGCTGCTACACTTTACGCGAACCTTTTCAGTTGTCACCAGTCGGGCATTTATTTGTGCATTTGTCCCGTTTTTTTTTTTTTTTTTGTTTTGCACTGTCAGTCAGTGTTGTTTTATATATGTACACTACACAAGTAACTCTTTTGACAGCTACAAAAACAAAACCCTTTACAATTGTTGAATGAATTGAATAACGACAAAGAAACAACGAAGAAAATTAATAAAAAAAATTGTTTTGCCAATGTTGCAGAAGAAAAGAAGTGATAAAGTGGAGATAGTGAAAATAAATATGTAAAAAAAAAATAAAAATCCAAATAAAAGAAAGCAAAATTAATAACATAAAATTGTGTGTGCCATGGTTTATTGTTGTTATTGAACAACTGAGAGGTGAGTAACTTAAATAAAATGTTACTTAAACGAATACTCATAACTTCATATTTTTCTCCGATATTTGATTACGTGAATACAAAGAAGATTTCTCAAGAGTGTTTACTTACACAAATACACAAAATAAATTTTAAATATATGACAAACAAATACGGAACGAATTTTTCGTCCTTCGATTTGACAATGCGTCATGCTGGTTTAACGGGAGGGATACTCAACAGTATTATAGTGAAGAGTTAAACGTATAAATGGATGTGTGGAAATACAGTAGTGTTCAATGAAATATATAATTGAACTCATAAGGTTATACGAAAAGAGTTTTTGTAGAGGTGTGACATTTTAAAGATAGGTAGTAACCTAAATAATAAATTTAAGTACACATTGAGTAAGAAAATATATAAATAGGCTTGGGAATCGAAAAAAGCTACGAGGATTTCACCTGCTTTAATAAGTATTTTTAAATAATTTAACACAATTGATATGTTAAGTGTTTTTTGTTTTAAAATAAAAGAGGTGTTTAGCTAAAATGGTTTAAGAAAGATAGTAGTATCAAATAGTACTGGGGTTGCCACACATTCGAAAATTTTAAATCAACAACGTTGATACCTTAACTAAATGACCTTTTAAGTAAAAAGGTTTTAGAAAATTTTTTCTAATATTAAATATTCTTGCGAGCTTGCCAGATTTTTCCAAATTCTTTAATTAACTTGAGAATCTAGATATCCTATGTTATGGAACGAGATTATGGTAAGAGAACCTCAATGGGTCCAAAAAAAATAATTTTTGAAGCAATTTTTGACCTTTTATTTAAATTATTAACTAATTATTACAGCGTATTCGGTCGAAAACAAGAAAAAATGTTAACGTCGGTTGCGCCGAAGCTGTAATACCCTTTACAGATACATTTCTTTTAACAACTATACAAGTATGTATAATTAAATATCAAAACCGGCCACTTTTCTCGGAGATTGTAGCGTTGCCTTGGACAATACTCTATGCTAAATTTAATGATATCTTGTCAAATAAATAAGTTTTTAATACAAGCACTTTGTTTGGATCGGTCAGTTTGTTTGACGGTTTCGACAAATAAGTAGCTTCTTAATGAGAAGAGGACGTGTGCAAAATTTCAGATCGATATCTCAAAAACTATTTAGTTCGTATATATACAGACAAACAGATGGTCGTGGCCAATTCGATTTAGCTGGTCACGTTGATCATTTATATATACTAGGTTGAGTCAAAAAGTCGAAAGTCTTTTTTCGCTTCGTACTCTGAAAAATTGGTTGATAGACACCTCTAAGAAAGGCTCTCCAAATATGAGCTCTAACGGGAAGTTTATCCGCCTAACGGTTTTCTATTTTTGTAGAGCAGAAAATTTCCTTCAAGACTATGAACTTTGCAATTTAAAATGATTTCCTTTCATTGAGTTATAAAATTCAAAAGAAAAAATTAAATTTGCCTTAAAAATAGTCAAACTTCAACCGTTATTATCGTTTAACCTAACCGAAAACCATAAGGTACCATTTATTAGACCATTCCATTTCCTACAAAATCTATGAAACGAAATATTTTTTCAAGTAGTTGGAAGCGAGATATGAAATTTTCTATCTGATAATAAGAAAAAATAGAAAGCCGTTAGGCGGACGACCTTCCCGTTACAATTAATTAAGTTTTTCTGAGAGGTGTCTATCAACGAATCTTTCAGAGTACGAACCGGAAAAAATACACTCATTATTTTTGACACTCCCTCCAACGTTTCCGTTTGGGTTGGTTGAAAACTTAATATACCTTGTTCAGGGTATAAAAATGAGTTTAGTCCGTTTTAAAATGGTTTGCAATATGGCAATATCAAAGATTGCAAGTTGAGGAATTATTCTAATATGACCGTAATACGAACGACGCAACCATTCAGAAAATCTTAATAGAATCCGTTGTCGGAAAACTTTCTCAGAAAATTTTCATAAATCAAAAGTCATATATATCTAGGAGTTTTCATAAAATATTTAAATTGAATTGAAACAAATTCTAGTGAATTGCCAAAACAACAAAGCTTCTGATTTTATTATATAAAATAGTAAAAAAAAGAAGTAGTATTTATTAAGAAGACTCTTAATCCTCTGAGGGAAGTTTTTGCTTTATCAAAATATTTGATTTTACTACATTTGGTTTATTGAATTTATTAAATATTACTATATTCAATCTATTTGCATTGTTTGATGGCATTAATTCAAAAATACCTTGTTAACCAACGAAAGTATTTCAAACATACATACTCGTATGATTATGGGATCATAAAACCGATCTTATTAATTTTTGGAACCAAATCACACTATACCAAAATGAGTCGTTGAAAATGCTGCAGAAGTGTTTCAGTAAGGCTACTTTTTAAATAACACAAGTATTTGGGTGCCACAAAGCATTTAAGTGTTAAAGAAACAGTCCTTGAAAATCGGGCTGTTGACAGGAGAGAGATGGTAGAAGATCTCACCATATCTTATGGTTTGACTCAAAACCGGTATCAGCCGTGTCAATGCTTGCAAAGGAGAGGCTCGACAACGTAGCTGAGGACCATACATTCTGTAAAAGCATTATTACGGGTTACGACAATTCCAACAATCTAGGGAATGGCGCTCCAAAAACGAGACGAAACCAAAAAAAAAAAAACAAAATTCGTTGAAAGTACTGAAGGTAATCCCAGCCGAGGTTTTTAAAAAGTAAAAGGCAAATAATATAGATTTATATTATATTATTATAATAGCTCTATCCGGCCCCTGCTACGTCCCTTTTTATACTCCTAACAGGTTGCTACATAGTATAACAGTATTGTTCATCTAACCGTTGTTTGTAGCACCCAAAACTAATCCAGTTAGATACTATAGGCTCAAATGATCAGGATGAAGAGACGCGTCCGTTCGTGCAAGCTGTAACTTGAGTAAAAATTAAGATATTTTTATGAAATTAGGTACACATGTTTCTTGGCATCATAAGCCTTTGGTATTGTAGATGGGCGTAAGCGGATCCCTGCGACGCTTATAAAACACCATTAATCGAAAACAAATAAATTGCCATTACTAAGCTCTACACACTTATTTGGTATACAGGATCACATTAGGGAGGGGCATCTGCAGTTTAAATTTTATTTAAGTGGGCGTGGTACCGCCGCCTAATAAGTTTAATATGCATATCTCTTAAGCCAATAAAGTTATAGTACCAGTGTACCTCGCCCACTGCCCAAATAGCGGTTTTGATTAAAGCTACTAAAAGTACGATAACTCATTAAATAAAAACCAAAACGGAAATAAAAAGTATTAAATAAATAAATGTGTTGTATGTTATTTTTTTAAATAGACTCCATTAACATTAATGTATCCGCCTTTTATCACATTACCATTATTTGGGGTTTCAGACTTTATTAATACCCGGAAAATGTCAAATCGTTAAATGAGAAACACTAATTACTAATATATGCAAGTATTTACCTAACTGTTTTCTATAAAGCTAGCTCACCAATACTAAAAACCTTATAACAACAATTATAATTGCCGATATAACACTAAATAACCTACAAGGACCAAGAATTGAGTGTTGAATAAAAAATTTTCCATTTAACTATCTCATTTAATGTCTGAGATATCCAATTTCGATACATGATTTACCTAGAGCTCATAAACATCATTCTAAAATTGAAAACTAGTAAATTAGCTAAAGTCTAAATATCCACGGATCTATTAGCCAAAATTTTATTTCAAATTGTAAGAGAATACCTATATAAAGACCATTTTTAGAACAGTTGTATGGTTAGGCAATGATTTGGAAGTTTTATAGTCTGTAATTACAAACTAGGTCGTAGGTATGTAAAGAATGAAATATTATTTACCTGCGACCTTCAATACAGCATATATTTCGGTCTAACTACCTCGACTCCACAATCAGGACTTCTCAACAAGAATGCCACAAAAACAACATTCCTTTGTAGTGCACCTAGTTTATTCTTTATTTAAGCATCGCTACAGTGCAAAAAAGATTACAACAAAGTTGTCTAGTGTTTTAAAATAATATCGTAAGCTAAGTATGTTTTTTTTTCGATAAGTGGTATTGTTGCTGTGCCATTTCTGCTTTAGTTTTTTTTTGTAGGTCCTTTCCAAAACATTTACTTTTGCTCCAGTCGATCCTTTAATGTCTCTCCAAATCCCATTTCATTTATAAAGGTATACAAAGTAAACGAAAACTTGGCGATCTTGAATGAGAACGAATCCAAAATTAACTTTATAAAACAAATCTAACGTTGCTACTTACCGACAAATTGGTTCTCAAATTAATTACAAATAATTTGACTGCTGTAAAGCAGATGTCCTCCTGTGTGCGTTGCATGAAATAAATGATCAACTTGTGGCAACGTTTATCCAAAGCCAACCAGTTACAATGGAATATTGCTAGAGGTAATTTAGCGCTGTCAGCCTCGAGCATCGATGCTTGGTAGCAGGTGGGAAGAGTCTGCCAAAATACAGGTAAGAGATAAACCAACGTGATCACCTTGGTTGATGCGTCGCCAAATACGAACATGTTGAGCATACACACGCAGAGGATAATTGCGTATATAGTAAACTGAAAGAAAGTGGTGAGAGAAAGGATCTTGCCAACGGTTTTGGAAATCCTTTAGAGTTGAAGCAATTCAAATAAATTATGTATATATTAAATGTGTGGATAATCAAAAAAAATAGAGTGAATTTTCTCTTCGAAATAAAAAAAAATCCGATAACATTTGGATCCAACAAACTTGAATAGATAGTAAGCAGATAAATTACACGAGCATTAAATAAATGAAACGATCACTTAGGCCTTTGGAAAAAGGACTTTGGAAAAGGGAATTTCGTTGTAATTCCATACAGGCGCTTCATCTCCTAGGTCACTCGACCAGTTCGCAAAGTTTTAGGTTTTATATTAGATTACAGAGTAAGACCAATGGATTAAAATCCAAAGGACCGAAGGTAAGCTAAAATCGGTTTCAAATTTAATTTTACTCACAACATGTTACAACAGAGTAAAAACGTTTTGTTCACCTAACGGTTGTTTGTAACAACGAAATATATATTGAGTTATATATCTATATATATCACTGATCAGAATGACGAGTCCATCTGTTCTTGTCAGCGATAACTTGACTAAGTATTGGGATATTTTGCACAAAAGGCCGATGAGCGAAAACCATAAAGAACTTTAGGTTCGCTGTAAATGTGGGCGTCAACCCATCTTCTAATAAATTTAATGTATATACTTATATCAAAAACACTAAAGCGGATCAACCAGACTGAGAACAAGTCTATACAACGGTTATGTTGAAAACTACTACAGATGCGATAACTCTGTAAAAAAAATACAATAGTAGTAAGCAGTGTAAGAATCGGACAATGAGCTTAGCACCGCCCATATTTAGAACAAAACCTATATCGCAAGAACTACTCGACCAATTTCAACCAAATTCGGTTATGTTATATTGGAAAAATGGGCGTTATCGGACAACCACGCCTAGTTCACATATACTACAATCTTAAATTTCATATGAAATAACTATGTATACAGTTTTAAATTGAGTGCCAAAAACATTATCGCAAAAAGTAGCTTAAGTAGTTAATGCACCGTTCAGAAGTTCCCGATACCCGATTTCTAACTCTACAGCTGACCTTAAATCGTTTACGTTGGTCAAAATGTGTGATATTTTAATGACATCAACGCTGAATGTAAATAAAATTGGTCTAGATCTTCGTCTTAACCTCATATCCATAATAAAATGATTTCTAAATCTTTGGTTGAAATATTTTTCCGACTCTAATCGTTGCAAATTGCTAGAGTATAAAATGTTCGGTTACCTCCGAACTTTCCCCTTCCTTACTTATTGAATTGATAAATTAAACGATACTCACTGCAGCAATTCCTGATGCGAAACGATGCAATCGACCAATTCTTCATAATTCTGCTGATCACTTAAATCGGGATCTAAGCCTAAACGACTCACACGATCTGTCAAGAGATTGATATGCGTACGAATAGAACGTATATATAAAGCTGGAAATGAGTCCATTGTCAAACTCATTTGCAGCAATTCATATAGGAGGGCTACCTCAAAGATGAAGTGAAGCCAAAATCTCAAATTTGATTCTGGCAGCCAATCAATGAACGGCAAATAATTGCCATGAGGATATTCATGTATGCAAAGCGCTACCAACCAGCTTGATGTACCGTACAACCAATAGACAATGCAAAAAATAACAAATATCTGTGTGCAAATCTTAACCGAGTTTCTGATTTGCATCTGATCTTGCGGTCTCTGGTAACGTCTATCCAAAGCCTTGAAAATTTTTCCGGTGTCATGCAAATGATCGATATTGGCTTTAATATAAACAGCTTTCAAAGGAAATACAATACTATTAATAGCGACACCAAAATGCGAAAGTACGATTGTTATCGGTAAAGAGCTCATAGTTTTTGCCACTCCAGAAAAAAAGAGATAAGGACAGCTAATTATACAACTCCAACAAATAAGCTGATGAATTATGTTAACAATTCGTTTCGGTTTTCTTGGTAAAAAACCAGCTGTAGTCCAACCACGAGACAAAAGTACAAATGATTCAGTCGTCTCAAAGTCATCCTTGCCTCGACCATAAAATAAATCGGCGATTTTGCGCATATCGATTCTTCCTTCGGGCGCTCAAAGTAATATCTATACCGAGCAGGTAAATAAAATTTCTTCTGTCCTACTAATTGCTTTTTCTTATGCGAAATCTTGAATTTGACACACGTTTTTGGTCAAAAAATTTGCTTAATCTCTTTGTGTACTGAGGTCTTCCTTTATTTCTTCGAAGTTTTGAAGAACAAGTGCTGATGTCTACTATTCTTCTCTTATTTTTTTAGCATATGCACAACAATTTTATTTAATCCAGTACAAAATTGTATTTAAAATGGTTATCTCTCACAAACTATACCAGTTGAAGTCCGCACTTTACGGAAACACGTCTACAAGCTTTGATTACAAATTTCTTCTGTGTTTAGGTTTGCAGTTCAATTGACCTAAAATGTCTATGAAGTCTCAATATATTATTTAATTGCTGGCAGATATGTACGATTGTATACGTATGTAGTACGTATGATTGTTGGACTGTAAACCCAAGTGTATATATTTCAGCTGAAAAATTACTTCCTTTTAAGAATTTGTATTTATCAGAAAATACGAATCAGTCGATATTTATAGAAATGTCTTATACAAAGCGATCCTTAGACCTCAAAATTAGTAATGCCGCACATAGTCAGCCAGATCACGAAATTGGAAATAATAATATTTCTCGCAGGTCGAAGTTTGTGTGGAAAAGGAAACGAATGCCAACTACAAGTGATTCTGATTATACCAGTAATCTCAGGGCGATAGTAGTGCATTTCACTACAGCGTAAATACAATATTATATTATATGTACATATGTGTAAGTATGTCTTTATATAAATTTTCGCACTGGTCGCCAATGTGGTGTGAATCTGGCAATTTAACACTTCCCTGCATGTTTAATTGATATATGAAATAAAATATTCTAATTCGTGTGAAATTATTATAAACAAATGAACCCTTATTCGTTTCAGAAAATATTTCCCATTGTCAAATTAATTATTATAACATACGCATGATTTTCTCAACAAATAAATATATTAAAATATTAAGCGAAATCGATAATTTGCTTCACATGCTTGGGTTGCATGTATTGCGAAGGCCGAAATTCGGGCCGTTCGGTTCTGTGCTTCAAATCTTAAAAAGTGGGCAAAAAGTGCTTATGGACTCAATGGAAAAGTGATGGAAAAACATTACGTCATTATCTCAAATAGCTGTGTACTTCTCAAATCAGATTCAGGAATTACTGACACGACACTGCAACAAAAAATAATAACATTATCTTTATATTCATGCTCTCTGGAATTGGAAGTTGTACTTGTTTTCAACACTTTATAGAAATTTGTAAAAAAAAAAAATATATTAAATAACGAAAAACCTTTACTTCTGATAGAAAATTGTTAATTAACGAAATCCCAACTGTAATTTGCCTGGCTGGTAACTGCAGAGTAAAGGAGCTTCTGTAAGTTATAATATTTATACTCTTACAACATGTTTCTACAACCAAATTCGCTTAGGATAACTCCTTTAAAAACCCTTACCAACAGTGTAAAATATAAATCAGATTATAACTCCGCCATCTCTGCATATAACGATTTTGTTAAACACTACTAAAAGCGCGACAAATCAATAATTAAATGCACGAGAGACTCTAAATTCAATGATACAAGAGAGATTTGTTGGAGCCACTTTCGAAATTGGACGATGGGCGTGACGACGCCCACATTAAGGTGAAAACCTAAAATATAAATGAATTGGTATTGGACTAAATCTCATATCCCTAATAAAATGAATTTCGATCCTTTAGTTGACGTGTTTCACATCAACTCAATATATTAAAATATATGCCTCTTCGGTAGAGTTTACGTCATATATATTTCATTTGAGGATGACTTTACTGTCATTTCACGATTTCGTTGAACAATGAAGTCGAACCCTTTCACTACATTTTTGAAGATTGCCAGTTGCAAGAGTATAAAATTTTCGGTTGCACCCAAAATTGGCTCTTCCTTACTTGTTTTCAATTATATTCATGCATCCTCTATTTAGGTTCTTTTTAAGGTCTTTTTCATTTTTTCTGAGGTACTTGGTTATTAAAATGTTTACTTTGCGCTGATCGATACTTTGATGTCATTTCATTAATTAAGATTTACAAATTATGTAGATGAAAATTTTGCGATCTTTAAGCAGAACGAATCCAACATTAACTAACCTGGTTTATAGGTTAACTTTCATATTTACCGATTGTGGTGAAGTAGATCTCTTTCGCGTTGCATGAAATAGATGATCGATTTGTGGCACGGTTATTCAAAGCCAACTACTAAATATTAAACGAGCATATATTCGTTCCAACGCTTTAAAAAAATGATAAAATGTTAACTTCGGCTGCACAGGATCTATAATACCCTTCACAAGATTAAATATAGCATACAAGTCTATAAAAATATCTGATTTGAATCGTTCTTTTTGAATGGCAGCTGTATGTTATAGTAATCCGATCTGAACAATATATGCGATAGATTATAGCGATGTTTTTCAAAATAATATATGCCAAATTTTGTGAAGATACCTTAACAAATAAAAGAGTTTTCCATACAAGGACTTGAGTTTCAGCGATCAGTTGTATAAATGAGTAGCTTCTTGATGTGAAAAGAAGGTGTCCACAATTTCATACCAATAACTTCAAAACTAGTCCTGTTAGCGTATATTCAGACGGACATGCATATTCGCTAAACTCTGTGGTTGTTGGATGAAATTTGAAAAATTTGGTATTTATCAGTGTGTAATCATGGTGCATAACCCTCGAGTTGCCGGTCTTAACAATTTAATTTTTATTCCAAATTCTCAATTAATTTTTTTATCATTTCTGCTGACAAATATAGTTGCCATCTTGTTCACGAAAGCCGGGTACTTGAAACGTAACAATTGGGTTTGGCTGTCGTAGCGCCACAGTCATTGGTTAAACTTTTTTTTGTAAATGTAATTGAAAACCCATTGTTAATCATACAATCGCTTCTCTTAGAAAAGTTCGGAAATAGCGTTAAAAACCTTCTGGTGGTATTTATTTGTTGCCTAAGGGCTGCTATCGTTCGATTGTTGTACCGAAATGCTTGTGGAAAGCGGGTAAAGTTATAAAGTTCTTATTTTGAATTTGTATTTATATATATATTTTTTTAATTCTGAATGTAGAATATCTTAAGAATGTTGTGCAAAGCTTTCCATATTTCAAAGTTTTGAATACTATTTCCGTATATAACTTATGATTTAATGAAAGATAATTATTTTAAAATTAATTTGTTTTTTTAATTTAACAATAAAAAATTAAGGGAGGCAGTGCAATCCAACTTTTTTTCGAGATACTTTTGAATAATTCCTGCTATTGCTAGAAACTATAAAATTGAACACAATCATCTCTGAGATTCCAATTCATAGGAACATCATATTTATCTAAACCGTCACCAGTAGCAAATTTCTAGTAGACAGCTATATATAATTTATATGTATACAATGAGTATAATTTGGGGCCGTCGACGTTTCCTTCTGTTCTGGTGTTACAAACTACGTGGCAAACACGCATGTGTTAATAGTAAATATAAAACAACCTTGAGAATAATTAATATTATATAACTTGATATCAAATTTGACCAATTATGCAATAAAATATTAATCACAAATTGTAATTGCTGAATTCACACCATATTGGCAACAATTGAACAATTTTACACACAGGCTGTAGCATGGTGTGTACCCTGCAGTAAAACGCACTAAAACTGAGCCAAATAGGAGATATTTCAACGTGTTTATTTTTGTTTCCAGTTGACTTTCGCGCCGTATAAAAGACACTTCTGGTGTGATTAGACAGAAGAATAACAGCATATTCTTATTCACCGCACGACTATTGTGCTAGAGTCGGCTAACTGTTGGTAATTTTTATACTCTCACAACATTTTGCACAGAGTGTATTATTTTGTTCACATAACGATTGTTTATATCGCCTAAAGCTAATCGAGATAGATATGGAGTCATAATATAATATATAGTACGTATATAAATGACGAGACGAGTTGAAATCTGGGTGAATACCGTCTGTCCGTGCAAGCGATAACTTGAGTAAAAATTAAAATGTCTTGATCAAACTTATTACATATTTTCCTTAACAACTAAGGGTGCAATACCAAGAGATGGAATCGGACTATTGCCACGCCCACAAAACGCCATTAAACGAAAACATAATAGTCGCAAGCATTATATTTCACAATCAGGATGATAGGGAAGGGTTTTATAGGGACAGTTGTAAAAATTTGTCTACGGGCGTGGCACCGCCTACCTTTAGTTGAAATCCTATATCTCAGAAACTACTTGACCAATTTTCATATATTCTGAAAACATGCGAAATCGATTAACAACCACGCCTGCTTCCTATATAACAGTCTTTTATATTTCAACTTATTTTTAACTTTACAGTATACAAACAAACACCAATGAACTTATCAGAATAAAAATTTGAACAAATAGTGCCCTCGAAATCGGGTCAATACTTTCCTTGGCCATCTATTGGTCAATATTTAAGAAATCTTAATGAAATTTAGAAAAAATCTCTTTCTAATTACAGAGAAAAAATTCTCTTGCTTAAATTGGATGAAATCAGGATAATTCCTAGTTTAATATGAATACTAGCAACATCTGAAAGTACCAGATTTCCCCGCCTTTGATCCTTGCGAATTGGGAGAACATGTTCAGTTACAGCCAAACTTAGCCCTTCCTTACTTCTTATATATGATAGTTTTTAGAGAGATTTTAAATTTTCGGCCTTAGTCGCTCAGGAGTTTTCATAAATATTGACTCAGTTATAGTTGGTATAGTAACTTTAATAAAAGATCATATATAGATTGTAAATGGTTATACCCTTGAACGTACATTTGAGTGTTGATTTGTACATTTTGATTATGTTGCTGGGTTTTAAGTCTCGGACCGTATAAGGATCTGCTTATGGATAATCAGAAACCATTTTTCGTATTTCAGCTGCAATCGTAACACAGAAAGCTTTAAGGCGTGTTTTAATTTGGCACGGGTCTTATCTAACCGAATTAAGTTTACAATTATTCATTAACTTCTCTGTTTAAACTTAGCTGACCATTCATCCCCGGACAGTCTGGATTCAGAGTTAAGCGTCCCGGGCTTAGAAATTAAAAAAAAAAGAATGAATTAAATAAAACTGTGTTACTCTTTCACCTATTATATAATATGTCGCGATCTTCAAGGAATTATAATATGGAAAAAACCGATGACTAAAAATAAACGACCCGGATTGTGCAGGGACAAATATGGTCACCTAAGTTCAAACCTTCGAGAAAAAGGTTTAGGTGACAATTTGTAGACCTCGG